CAAATTAGGAATCGAAGAATATTTCCAGGTTTTATAAAGCTATATAACATCGAATGTTTCCAGACCAGAATTAAAATTTTAATAATACACTTATAATATTTATATTACATTTGTATGAGCTAGTTGTTTTATGAATAATATTAGAGTATATAATTTTGTGGTTAACGGATGGCACGTATTTTTCGAAGAGTTTATCTCAATTTGCTTCAAACAGGCTGTTTGACATTGTCATGCCAATCATGGGCTATTGCTGTAGGCTTTGTTGATTGAAAAAAAAACTGTTTATTGTGCCAATCCGTCTTCTATGTAGCCTCTTTTCAAACTGCCTATATACGTCATTGTTTCAAATTTAAAGCAGAATTAACTAAATGTCTCGAACTGAGGAATAACGACGCTTGTTATAATATTTCACTATACATGTATAATATAATTTTAAATAAATCATATAAAATCACAAATTAAAACCTATATAATTTTTTAAATCTGCGTTCTTAGAATGTCCTCTGTTTATTGCTAAGATTAAAACCAGGGTCAGATGAGCCTGGAGTTCATTTTAGAAGGATAGGTATCTGAATCCGGTCAAATTGGCAATATATCAAACATTAAAGTCATTATAGCTGCTTTGTGATAAAGTAAAGAGTATTTTGGATTTCGGATTGTGAAGATTAGAAAGGCGAGAAATTCGATGGTTTAGTGGGTACCCAATCTTAATTTAATTTGTAATAAATTGGAAGCTTAGTGCATTTTTCTAGTAAAGAGTGAAGCAGAAAATGTCGAGCAGTTTCTTATCGCTACAGTCTTGTATGATATTCTAATTACAACGTTTATCTGAGTGGAGTCTTAGGTTGCGGATATCCTCAACTGGGATACATACAGAATTGTCATAGTTTTGTAACAACGTGTAAAAGTAATTTGGGATTTACAACTAAAAAAAATAAGAGAAAATACAGCTTCTTAGTACATTTCAGTAACTTCAAACTTTTGTAACCACATCTTGTGATGTTTGGAGATCATGATGTCCTTTCATAAAGCAATGAAATCTTTAGGCGAGGAAATGATTTTTAAGATAAAACAAATAACAATTTTAAAAATCAACAAGGTCAAATCATAAATATTGGAGTGAAACCTATTTTAATCTACTGATAACAAAAACCATTTCCTCGACTAAAGACTCCTAGACATGTCTGTAATAATATTTCGGAGTGTATCTGGCTAAAGCATTCTTGCTCAATCTCCACTGGATTTAGCCCCAGTGACGCGGTTGAGAGAGAAGTGCAGGGATTTTCTGGAGTCATGCTTTTCCCTCAACAGTTGGAGGGACAAGTCTGGCTTGGAGTTCTCTCGCCATATTGTAAATATTATATATAGGTATGTATGTGTTATTTTTATTTATTTATTTTTAGGTTATTTTATTCTTATTTATTGTACATAGAGTGTGAATGTGATCTCTGAACACTATAATAAATATCATTTGAAACAAATTGTAATATTTTTCAATAAATAAATTTAAAAAAAAATAAATTGGACTTATGGATTTGAGGTTTGGGAATTCCTAAACCATCGAATTTTTCTCCTATCCAATTGTTACAATCTAAAATCCCTAATAATCTTTACTTTATCACAATCACCGAATCAGCCATAATGACTTTAATGTTTCATATGCTCCCGATTTTTCCCAATCCAGATAATACTTGCCCTTCTATAATGAATTTGAAGCTCATCCAACTAATTTTTTCTAATTATGTTCCTTGGATTTCTTATGATTTCCTCAATACACATGATAGTAATGGTCTGGAATAGGACAAAACAAACCAAAAGAGCTTCCATAACGAAGGATGAAACTCCATCTTATTCCCACATGGAATCTCTTCTTTTTTTAAGAACTATTGTGTCGGAGAGCTTTTGACAAATCTCATTCTATTCAGCAGTAATATTTTTCCACATGGACGCCTGTCTTAACTGCAGCAGGTCATATGCAGCTTAATTATCCTTCATGGCAGAGGGAAAATGGCGGAATCATGTCGGTATGGCAAACATTTAGGGGCTTGGGAAAGGTTAAGCAGGCGACGTCACGGTCCTGAATGGCGGGTTATGCGGTGTGTAGTATGCATGCGTTACGCAGCTAGTGGCAATATATATAGCAGCCGCTGAGGGTGGAGTACAGTAGAGCTAGACTCACCTTCCAACCATCAACATGTGCTCCATCAAGGTAGTATCAGTGTTATAAAACAGTAATAAAATTTAAGTTCGTATAGTGCTCAAAGGATATATAAATTTCGGGACTTGGAAGTTTAAACTTGACATCAAATCAGTGTTTTTTTGTTGTTTTTTTTTCAAGTGAATAACATCTTCATTTAGAATAATTTTGCACTTCACTATAAAATAGCTAACATTAGAAGACGCTTTGTTTGTTTTCCTCGTATCACCAAAAGACTGTTTCATCCGATGCTTTTTTGAATTGATATTTAAATTATTATTTTACATATTGAAATTTGTATACAACAGTAATTTATATCTTAAGTCTCCCTGTTCGAACTACGAAGAAGCAGTTCCAAATTCCAAAGCTAGGATGGGAAGGCACTGTGCATACTTCCACTTAATGGTAACAAAGTAGTAACTACTTTCTAGTAGAGTTGTAGAAGAAGCATCATGGAAGCATTTGAATCGGCAGAATGTTTCTCTCATCTCAATGCTAACTATTTTATTTTTCAAAAATATTGTTTAAAAATGTTTATAATCATTAGTAGTAAAATAATTGAAATATCCATGACAGAAAAACCTAAAAATTGCATCAATAAATCTAACTTAGGGCAGCTACGGCCTTACGGTAATTTAGTTTTGAAGGCAATGTTTTAGCATTATGCTTCACCTGCCTGATTTAATAACCGATTACTATCAAATGCTTGGTTTTTTAAGGTTTAGGAGAACTAGAAAACGTCAGTCAATCACCTATCATTAAAGGTTTGGTACTATTTTGCTAAAGATAAACTGCGGAATTTGACTCAGTTTTGTTTTGTTGAAAGGAAGCCGTTGAGTTTTCTACTACACTAAATAACCAAGATTCGAGATTTTAAGTTTAAACCGTAATTTGTAAGCCACCTTAAGTATTATCGCATATTTGAGGACTCAATACAGGTTACTGCTGTTTCATACAATTTTCTCATTGAAATAAAACAAAATTATATTTGTTTGTTATATAAAAACAATATTTCTGCGATCTTTTAAGAATATCAAAACATATTCTGTCTTTCAATACATAAAATATATTCAGGATAAAATATATTCTGGTTGATATAAAATTAGATATTTAGAAATATTATCAATATCAACCGGTTATAGTTAAAGACTGGAGGAATACACGCAATATGAAAAATCGAAATAAAATTTATAAAATAACTGTATAAACGAAACGGTGTAATATTGGAGTGCAGCTATACCAATGATTTTCCGATTTTTTTTTCTGTTTAGTTTGTAGACCTTGTGGATCTTTTGACGCCTTATCCAACTCCGTATACTTTAGACTATTACTTTCAGTTATCTGCAAGCAGCTCTGTTATCTGCAGCTCTCTAGTCTTCAGTCTCCGCATGCATCTTAACACAAGAATGATAGTAAGAAGATTTTATGATAGAGGGACTTTTTATTTATTACTTCCTATTTACAAAAATATGGGTGATTCCAAAATTTCGTTCAGGTTATATTCATGAAGTGTGTGTTCTTCACTATCAGCTGTAATGCTTTAGTAAAATGAATTAGTCAATATTGAATTTACGATTATAATTTAAATTTACATTGAAATAAAAACTAAATAAAATTTTACATTTTTTTAAAAGGAAAAACACGACCTGATTTCATTTTTGAATAGTTGCTCATTTTAATGCCTTGCAGAGATAATTGAAAGTAACAATATCCTTTTTAAACACTTGGCGGTATCATTGAGTGAGGAGTTCACGGTGCTAGATGCGATTTTCCTGCTGATTGGATACGTGTATAGGTTGTCGCATAACACGTCTTGATCTTGCTGCAAGAGCGATGTAATTTCTCCAGCCAGCAAAAGAGACACCATGAGAAAGCGCCTACCTACGTGCTACCATGGTGCAACCCCCGTGCAAAGCGTGATTAGCTTCTGGAATCCATGAGTCAGCTAGTATTATTTATAAGACATTTTCATACCTATCAACAGGATGTTAAGCGTAAAGATACGATACACGCGCAAATGAAATGACAAATAAAATTTTAAACGTAATATACGAAAGAAACAAAAATAAAATAACTGTTTGTAGAGTTCACTTGTAGAACTATTGACTATAGCCGAAGCAGCAACCGCTGACGTTTCCTTCAGCTCAGCAAAACAGAAAATCCGCTTTTCAGAGCTACTTCATGTTGAACGAATCCAGTTTTTAACAAACCTCAAATGGATATATTTTTTTAACATTAGTAAATAATTTAAATAAAACATTTTCACTATGAATATAAATAAGTAAAATTTATATAATTTGTTGTCATGCATAAATTTTCTAGTTTAATGTGGAAAGCCAATCGATGTGAATTTTCAAACAATATACGATTCAAAAAGTATAACATAAACATCATTTCTATCAACAGATAGTTCGATTTGCTCATAATAAAAAATTAGTTTAGTTTGGATCATCCGATGTACTTATGAGTTAATGTTTAAAGTTTTGTTTTATATATTAAAATTTGTATTTGACTATTTAGTATTGTCTTAACAGTTTCTCACTTCGAAGTACGAAGAAACCTTTTTAAACGTTACAGCTAGGTTCGGTAGGCAAGGTGAATAATACACTCTGTGGGAACTAAGTTGTACATAAAAGCAATACAAATTTCATTAAAATTCATTTAAAATTTCTTATTGATTTTCATTTATCTTCTGAACTGATATGAAAAATGAGGTCATGGGGATTATGAAGAGTTTATTAATTAAACTAAAAATAACTTATGATTTCAGAACTAATTCGTGTGCTAAGACTTCTTTTGGGAAATGTTTCAGTTGTGTATAGTGGCGGCAGTGCTTACAGTAGCAGCAAGTTACCCGGATCATGGACATGGCGGCGGACATGACGGAGGATTCGGTGGTCATGGAGGCCATGGTGGGTTCGGAGCTGGACATGGAGGTCATGGTGGATTCGGCCTGGGACATGGAGGTGGTCATGGAGGAGCTCATGGTGGATTAGGAGGCCACGACGGCGGACATGGAGGACACGATGGTGGACATGGAGGACACGATGGTGGTCACCTAGGAGGTCACGGAGGCGGTCACGGTGGTGGTCATGGAGGTCATGGTGGAGATCATGTTGACTACTATGTAAGGAAGCTAAGTTAGATTTTAATTGAATCAAATTAAGATTTAGACGATGATTGATTTTTTTTCTTCTTTTGATTATAGGCCGCTCCTCACTACCAGTTCGAATACAAAGTACATGACCCTCATACAGGAGATGTCAAGAGCCAGCAAGAAGCCAGGGAAGGAGACAAAGTTAAAGGATTCTACACCCTGAAGGAAGCCGATGGTACCCTGAGGGAAGTCCACTACGAGGCCGACCACAAGAACGGGTTCAACGCCGTCGTGAAGAGGACAGGCCACGCCACACACCCCGCGGTCTACGGCCATCACGAAGAGGGTGGTCACGGAGGTCACGGCGGAGGACACGGTCACCATTAACCTGACGACCACTTAGGCCCAAACATTGTGATATCTGACCTAGCTTTACCTCCTCGTTGTGTATATTTATTGTTAGCTACTTACTCTTGTAAGTTTACCAAAGTTATGTTTTTTATTTTGTATGATCGTTAATATAGATTGAACTATATATTTAAATATTATTTACCTTTGCTACCCCAAACCATTATCATACTTCAAATAAAAGATAAAGTCAGATTTAATATTATGTTTAAAAATGGAATTAAGTAAATATAATTATTTAAATGATTAAAATCTTAAAGTAGCTTCAGTTTATTAACTATTAAAGAAGTAAATTGCAATGGAAACAAGTCGTTGTTTTATATTATTATTTATATCAATAATAAGTTGCTATAATTACTGTTCTGTATGATTTAAATAAAGGAGATCAGAGATTAAATGTCATGCAATAAAGTATACACTATACATGTATCATATTTCAAAATAATCATCGTAAAATTTCATTTTAATTATAATAGAATTATTTCTACTTGATTTACAAATATAAGGGTTTAAATAAAACATTAACTCCCCTATCATAAATTAAAGATATGATGGTTACTTTATATTATTATTGAATAAGGATTTCCAAATCCTATGACAGTTCACCATAGTAGTAGAAATATTAAACAATAAATCTTGAAATCCCTTGAAGTATCAATGAATTCGTTCAATATAATCGATAAATTCTGTTTCTGGTTTAACGGTAGTTCAAAAAGTTGATGAATCAACACTCATATTCAACAGCCATATTTATTGCAGTGCCATGAAATCTCTAAAGAGATTAGGTCGAGTACAGGTGTATTTGAACCAAAGCCATAGATTAAAAAATATAGTCTATCAACTGCTTCCAGCAGTTCCACATGCTACACCCTGATGAAGATCTGCAAGGGGGGTCGAAACGTCGGCGTAATAATTAAAATACTATTTTTTAAACATTTAGTATTCATGTGACCGCCCCCACATAAAACAATTATTTTTTTCCCTTAACCCCGATAATATAATAATTTCAATGAATTATTACATTTGACATTTTTTTTAAAGTGATTTTCTTCGTAATTGTAAGTGTTTATGTATTGTTGTAAATAATAATTATTAAACGTAACAGTAAGGGAAAAGGGCACACTCATAACAATTAAAATTAATGTACTTAATTTTTTCTTTTTTTCCTTGAAGACAGTCCACATCCGAGGCTAGTTGAATTGCTTTGAATCGTTGGGAAGTGGAATTTGAGAACTGTCCTCATACAAAGCCTTCTATACGCGGATGACATAGTCCTAATAGCCGACACGAAGACCAAACTACAACAAGCTTTGGTAGAGTGGGAAGAAGAGTTGCTCAGGAAAGGGATGCAAATTAACACCTCCAAGAGTAAAGTGCTGGTTATGGCGAGGGAAGAGCGAGAAGATGTCCAGCTGATCTGCAATGGCGAGACACTTGAGGTGGTGACTGAATATACCTACCTAGGGACCGTAATTAGTTGTTCTGGTAAGATAGACGCCGAAATATCAAGTAGAATATGTAAGGCGAATCAGGTATATTACCAGACTACTAATAGCATTATCGGCCATCGCGAAGTAGACAAGAAGACCAAAATGCACGTATATAAGTCCGTTTACCTACCTACACTCACCTATGGCGGAGAAAGATGGACAATGCTAGACAGGCACTCTAGTCGCATAACGGCAGCAGAAATGAGCTTCCTTCGCAGATCTGTTGGCAGAACTAGAAGAGATCGCATTAGGAATGAAAGCATCAGAGAGCAGCTAGGAGTTGCTTAACTTAAAACCACTCTAGAAAGACGGCAACTCCAGTGGTTTGGACACGTCTGCCGCATGAATGAGAATTAGAATCCTATAAGGATATTAGAGGCTCGACCCACAGGAAGGAGACCACGCGGACGCCCCAGACTCACGTTCCAGGAGTACATTCAAAGGATTGGATGTAAAAGAGGCAAAACCCTTAATGAGATGAAGCGGCTAAGCACGGACCGGGAAGAGTGGTTGCACTGGTTGAGGCTCCTCGACGCTAACTAATGGCATAAGAGGAAGACAAAGAAGAAGAAGTACTTAATTTTTAAGATTATAATCACTGCAAAATGTGGTGGATTGTAGAGATATATCCTGTCGTAGAATTCATATTATGAGCTAACACTGCCACAAATTATACATACATGAAATTTTCAGATATTTTGTTAATACCTTGATGTTGCAATTTCGTCTTTTTGTTTCGCTTAGGCGCTGGGTTTTCCTTGATAAGACTAAACTCCAAAATGGAAAGGAAACCATACTGACCTTTGTTTTCATTAGAATTTGTTTTTATTGTGGTCTTCAATAATTTATTGACGATTAGATTATTTGTACATATTTCGCTTAAATTCACTGATAAATTATCACCGATTTGCCAACTGAATAACTGCTTGAAAAACTGAATATTTTTTAATTAAATATAGTACTTTAACTCGCAACCTTACTACCGGTTAAGGCTGTAGAAGCGCTGGGATCTCTTAGAATCTATCCTTGTCCTCTACACGTGGTTAAAGGGCATGATGCTTCCTAGCTCTCTTGGCTGATTGTAAATATTGAAATTAAGTATGACTGTTATTTTTTTTTATTTACTCATTGATAATAATTTATTGTCATTAATATTTATTTAATAATTTTTTCCCAAATTTTTTGTATTATTTCACTTCAGGTTATATTTCTTTGTTTTTATTACATTATCTTTTACATATCTATTTTTATGTATTTCATATTTTTTATTATAATATAAATATGGTACGAATGTGTCTTACAGCTCTAATACTAAGTACTCTAAGTGTGGTAAAATGTATTCTACCTCAATAAAAAGATGTAAAGCAATAAAAAAAAAACTATCGCTTAAAGAAGCTTCAAGGAGACGAATAAGACAATGATCTTATTTTCACATATTCATAAATTGAATATTCCATAATTTATTAAAAAAATAAAACTTATGAAAAAATAAATAAAGTTGAATCTATATTTCAGGCTTTATAGTTTGTTTTCAGGCTGTTGTTCTTCCTAAATTTGCTTCCTTGTACCTTATCTATTTTATGAGGATAGACGTGCTCCCTATTTCAGGAATTGGATGATACAATTAGAGTGATCTATTGCCACCTAATAGTTGTCAGCTATCCTTGGTTTTTTCCCAGTCTTATTAATGATCCAATGATTCCAACTATATAAATAATCTTTTGCTTAGTAGTTCGGGGAAATAGTAAAACAGTAACGTGAACGAGGTCACCTGTTTTCTCATGATTATGAACGACACAAGAGGAATTCAATCATTTAGTGGTGTCACAAATCACAACATCATAATTAAAAATAAAATTTATTATAGCCAAGTATAAGAGTATTCTGAAACTAATTAAAATCTATTCTAGTACACGATGCAGCAATCGGAAAAATTGAGCAGTCTTTGTCATTTCAGTCTTATAAGAGCTTTCCAAGAAGGGCGCACTGAATTCATAGATTAAAGTAAGAAATGTAGGTCATCTAGCCAATATTATTCTCAACATTATGGTTTTTTCTATCAATTTCTTGAATGGTCAAGTGCCGATATTATACCAAGACTTGTTGCGCCCAAGAAGGGTCTCCGTGACACGTGTCTGATGTAATCTAATAAACAATTATTGGCTTCAACCGGATTCGAACCCAATTCGTCCTATAGGGATGAGTAGAGAATTATTAAATTATATTGTAAGACAATAAATTATTCTAAAATATATCAAGAGGAGACATGTTAAAGCCCTTCGACTCGTTAAAATAACGAATAAATCCTTTCTTTTGAGTCAGAGATACCAGAGCCAGTGCCATTAAAATTAAAACGCTCTGGATAATTACAATTCAAAATATTGTGATATCCTATCACTATTAATTTCTTCTCTTTCAAGATTACTGTGTCCTCTAGAAGAACTAAATACGCTTTAAAATGAAACAAGAAATTAAAGAGAAAAAAAATGAAAACAAATCTGTAACTTCTATTTCAAATCAAACGTATCAATGTATGGGATAACCAATGCAGATTAATTGAGATAATGATAATTAAATTAGTAAAAATTATATAATGAACATTTATAGTTAAGGTTTGGTATCACTTCTTAGTTTAAGGCTGACAGCCCACCGAAACCAGAGATAAAAAAAAAATATCGAAATTACAAAAACATCATTAACTGTTATTGAAAAAACTGTTTGCAATATTATTGGATGATTTCAAGATCAAATTCCTAAGACCTCGCCTCCACTAATTGTGTAAAACTAGCGAAAAGTGACGAACAGTTGGGGTAAGTGTATCAAATTTTCGACAAAGCATGACAAGGATCCGATTGGTCCAAAAATTAAGTTAAGGGTGACCATCTAATGTTTTACCCGTTCATTTCTAGGCAATTTACCACAAAGATAGGTGTTGAATCCTTTTAGAGTGATGTACCTTTTATCGAAATTTTGTTAGTCTTTTTCAGAAACTTGATGTGGGATTTGCTGCATCTTTAAGTGACGATGTCTGAAATAATGTTGTGTCTTGTATGTTAGCGAAGATTATACTATTAGATGATTATACCTTAACTAATCAGTACTATTATGATGCAATTAAGTTCCAATACAATATAGTATACATTACAGCAAATTGTAGTTCGGTATTTGCCATTCTAGAATTACTTGATAACTTAACAGTTTTACCTAAAAAAAAAAAAAAATGGTTAAAGATGAAGACTCAAATATTGCAAAATCTGCTTCTTATTTCTGTGGAGAACATTTTTTAAACGATAAATGATAAATGGAGTGTTACTTTTTATTTTCCTTAAATTTAAGTAAATTTCCCTTTAATTTACTTTTCCCGTTAATTTAAGTAAGCTTCCCTATAATCATCTATGAATGACGCTCAAGAAACATTTTTATAGAGATGATACATCCAAAATCGTAATAAGTAGAAGAATATTGCTGGATGGAATATCGATTGATAGACAATACTAGATAATGTTATCAAAATAATAACAATAAACGTATTAAACTATTAAAATTTCTCAAGATAAAAGAAATAAATTCTAATTAATAATAATAATTTTTAATATATAGGATAAATACCAAAAGCCAAAATACATATATCATGGTGTTTTACATGACACACATTTGCCATAATTATAAATAAATATATTGGTTTTTTTTTTGGAACAGGTAAAGTATGATGGAGTTAAAATTATTAAGAGAAAATTTTAAAAATATTTATTTCATGTAAGTACATGATAATGTAATGAAAAAATAATTTTATCCTGGGACTATAGTCCCCTAAGAATAATAACAGAGTAACATAATTAAGAACATTAGGCTGGCTTAGATGAATACAAAACG